CCTTTTTTTTTTTTTTTTTTGTGTGTGTGTGGTAACTAAAAAAGTAAATAGCGGAGTTTAGTGCACCAAACTTCCCTTTATCTATATCTATACTATATTAAAAGCACGAAAACCCTTAACGAAATGTCGTTCACCTTTTTTACCCTTTAATAAAAATAGGTTTCACACTAGACAAAATAGTCATTTAAATTATTTTCCTAATATTTAGAATTAATTATTTTATTATCTCCCTAATATTTAGGAATTCGAAATTAATTCAACTTAATATTGAAACGATATGAAAACCCTAAAAATAAGGTTAAGAGTTTTAGAATAGAAGGACTACAACACATAATGAGTTAATTGAATACGTAAAGAAAGATTTTAAAAAGATTTGAATTTAAATGCAAGGAAAGATTTTAAATATAAAATAGCTAAAAAAATCCATAGCTGAGCAATTGTCTGCTTTCTCCACAAATATGGTTCATATTTTCTGCGGCTTTCTCCACAAATTTGTTCAGTCTGGTTTTGTTGGTCTTGAACGAAGTAATTGAAGACCATGGAGCTATTAAGTATTTTGACAATTCTTTTGTAAGTGGTAGATGAATCACTTCTGAGTTATATCTTTTCTGTAGTTTTTCGTCTGCTTGTGTGCCATAGTTTTTATTACAATAGAAAAACTCTTTTATTTTACAAGTAACATTATGAAACTTATTCATTCTTCTACCTCTTTTATATAATTTGATAAATAAAATTCTTGTGGAAGAAAAGACCTATAAAATATGTAAACTTAGCAAATTAATTATGTATGTTCCTAAAACTTATAGGAACTGCTAAAAACACTGTTTAAAAATGTAGAACAATACAAAAACTGAAAGGAAAGAGGGTCAAGGTCTGCGGACGCCAAGCGGCTACCTCGATAATCTCCAACAGATAAAACTCCGAGAACTAGCAACCGCCGTGTCCAGAAGTACCTGGATCTGCATACGAGGTGCATGGTGTAGTATGAGTACAACCAACTCAGCAAGTAACAATACTAAATAAAGAACTAAAAGTAGTGACGAGCTTCACAACTAAGTCCAATTACAATAATTTGCAACATAAAAAAGTAGGCATGCTTGTAAGTTTAACAATTAAGGCCCAAACAGTAATTTCATATCAAGTTCAACTGAAACAGGAGATAATATCTTTCAGAAATTTCCAACACAATAATATATGACAACTGTAGTACAATAAGAATGAAATCAAATGCATCCCTTCAGGACCATAGTCACTCAGCCATTCCATTCACTCATCACTTAATACTCGCACTCAGTAGATACCTGCGCTCACTGGGGGTATGTACAGACTCCGGAGGGGCTCATTCAGCCCAAGCGCTATAATCCGCACGGACAACTCACGTGCTATAGTATAATACCTGGATCCGCACGGACAACTCACGTGCTATAGTATAATACCTGGATCCGCACGGACAACTCACGTGCTATAGTATAATACCTGGATCCGCACGGACAACTCACGTGCTATAGTATAATACCTGGATCCGCACGGACAACTCACGTGCTATAGTATAATACCTGGATCCGCACGGACAACTCACGTGCTATAGTATAATACCTGGATCCGCACGGACAACTCACGTGCTATAGTATAATACCTGGATCCGCACGGACAACTCACGTGCTATAGTATAATACCTGGATCCGCACGGACAACTCACGTGCTATAGTATAATACCTGGATCCGCACGGACAACTCACGTGCTATAGTATAATACCTGGATCCGCACGGACAACTCACGTGCTATAATATAATATCTGGATCCGCACGGACAACTCACGTGCTATAGTATAATATCTCGATCCGCACGGACAACTCACGTGCTATAGTATAATATCTGACAATCAGGCCCTCAGCCTCACTCAGTCATAAATCTCTCCAGTCTCTCGGGCTCTCAATAATCATGAAAATTAGCCCAAACAATAATGATATAATGCATCAATAATGAACAATAGAGACTGAGATAAAATAAATAGGTAAACTATGACTGAGTATAAACCAATAATTTAACAGATAATTCAACATGTACACGACCTTTGTGGGTCCCTACAGTGCCAACACATAATATAAACATGATTTGTGGTCCAATTTCTCTACTACATGGAAAATGTACAGATAACAACGGATTATTCAACTACACAGTTTAATAGAATTTGACCAAGTCATAATTTCTACGGTGCACGCCCACGCGCCCGTCACCTAGCATGTGCGTCACCTCAAAACCGACCATATAACACATAATCCGGGGTTTCATACCCTCAGAACCAAATTTAGAACTGTTACTTACCTCAATACGAGCAATTCTTTATTCCAATAAGCCTTTGCCTCGCGAATCGGCCTTCGAACGCCTCGAATCTAGTCACAATTAATTCGATTCAATCAATTCAAATTATAAGAATTAATTCCATATGAAAATACTAATATTTCAACAAAATTCGAAATTGCACTCAAAAATTACCCATGGGGCCTATGCCTCGGAACCCGACAAAAATTATAAACTATGATCGCTCATCCAACCACGAGTTCAACCATATAAATTTCACCAAATTCCGACATCAACTCGACCCTCAAATCTTCAATTAAAGTCTTTGAAGATTTCTACCATTTTCAACTCAATCTTTACCCATTTGAACTCAATAATCTTTGCACAAACCTTATTGGTACGTGTATGTATAAATAATACTCTTACACCCAAGAATCATACTCTCAATCACCCATATTTACCCAAACTCGAAATTGAAGACTAGGGTTAGAAATTCTTACCTCTTTGAAGCCCTAGCAAGATTCTTGTGAAATTTTCAAATCTTGAACAAGAATTGATGGACAAATGGCTAAGTCTTCACTTTCTCTCTCTAAGATGCTCTCACCTCTCTCTAAAATATCAGATGAAACCATTCAAAATGACCCCTAATAGTGTTTTATAAGAATGGAGTCGGGTTTATAAAATCAGAAAAATGAAGTCCCGAAACACACTATGCGGTCGCATATGCGACCGCATAATGCTCCTGCGGCCAGCATAATGGGTCACAAAAAGGCCCTTTGAAACTAGCAACACTGTTTCAGTCTGCGGCTGTTATGCGGTCCGCAGACCTTCCTCCAAACTTGCCCCACTTCTGATTCACTCTGCGGCCATTATGCGGTCCGCAGAGTGATTTTGCGACCGCATAGTGGGCCGCAGAAATGACCTTTTTCCGAAAAAAAAATTTCTTTACTCATCGGTGCATTGTTCAACCTAAAAGGTCTGAGCCGATTCTCAAACACGTAAGAATATTTAGAATTAATTATTTTATTATTTTTCTAATATTTCGAAATTCGATATTAATTTAACTCAATATTGAAACAATATGAAAACCCTAAAAATAAGGTTAAGAGTTTTAGAATAGAAGGACTACAACACATAATGAGTTAATTGAATACGTAAAGAAAGATTTTAAAAAGATTTGAATTTAAATGCAAGGAAAGATTTTAAATATAAAATAGCTAACAAATCCATAGCTGAGCAATTGTCTGCTTTCTCCACAAATGTGGTTCATATTTTCTGCGGCTTTCTCTACAAATTTGTTCAGTCTGGTTTTGTTGGTCTTGAACGAAGCAATTAAAGACCATGGAGCTATTAAGTATTTTGACAATTCTTTTGTAAGTGGTAGATGAATCACTTCTGAGTTATATCTTTTGTGTAGTTCTTCTGCTTGTGTGCCATAGTTTTTATTACAATAGAAAAACTCTTTTATTTTACAAGTAACATTATGAAACTTATTCATTCTTCTACCTCTTTTATATAATTTGATAAATAAAATTCTTGTGGAAGAAAAGACCTATAAAATATGTAAACTTAGCAAATTAATTATGTATGTTCCTAAAACTTATAGGAATTAAGTTGCCTATTACAAGTTCAAAATCATTAATAGATGCGCTACTGCTCCAACAATAGTCTTATATAAGAATAAATTGTTGACGAGCAAGCATTGTAAGAAACTCAACATCAAATTTTAGAAATACTTTTGTAATGACACATAATAATTGAACGTAAAAAATACATAGATTAATATATTATGTGATTTTTTTTAGTTTATACTTATTAAACTATGGTACACGTGCAAAGCGTATAACTAGTTGCTTGAAAAGTCTATAATATCGTTACTTGCATATGTCCTCCCAAAATGCAGTGATTTCGGAACCTGTATGATTATGTTTTGACTCATTGTCGCACAATTATACCTAGAAAACTTAAAATAATATTTGGATTGGTATGTATTAGCAAAGTTATATTGTAACTCTATTTCCTATATGTAATATATTCTAACTAGGTTGTACAGTAGGAGTTTTACTGTATTTAGAGTTCTTCTTGGCTTCCCATAGCCCTCTATTGTAACTTATATATAAGCATATATTGTGCCTATGGAGAATAACGAACAGTGGAGGTTTCACTGCAATTCTTTTGCTTCAGTTTTCACAAGGTATCAGAACCTCGTTGGCTAAACATCTAGAACAACGTTCAAGCATCAACAATGGGCTCAAAAGGAGAAGAGGCAAAATTGATTGGTTTCAATTCACCATTTTATCTTCATGCCTCGGACAATCCCGGGATGTTACTTACCTCCTGTCTGCTTGATGGAACAAATTATGCAACATGGTGTAGAGCTATGAAAAACGCTCTAAGGCCCAAAAACAAGTTGGGTTTTGTGAATGGTTCAATCACAAAGCCGAAGGATGGAACTCTAGAGGCGAACTCATGGGAGACGTGCAATTCCATGATCATATCATGGATATTCAATTCACTGGACAAAGGTTTACACAGTAGAATTGCATATGCTGAAACTGCAAGAGAAGTTTGGGTAGATCTAGAGGAACGTTTCTCCCAAGGGATGGCTCCAAGAATTTACCAAATCAAAAGGGATATTAGTATGCTCGTACAAGATGGACAAACAGTGCTTGCCTACTACACCAAATTGAAGGCGCTAGCTATGGGACGAGCTAAACGACCTCGACTCGCTGCCTCAATGCAATTGTGAAGCAAAAGATGACCACCAATGCAGACAAGAAGAGGAACAAGTTTACCAGTTCCTCATGGGCCTTGATTCAGGGCTCTATGATTCAGTGAAATCGCAGATCCTTAATGCTGAGCCAATGGTGAACTTAAGGAAGGAATATGCCATGGTCGTCAGGGAAGAAGGCCAGCATAATGTTGGCTTACAGAGGGAGACAAAGCACGAAAGTTACAGGTGCAACCACTGCCAGAAAATAGGCCACGATAGGAGTCAATGTTATGAAATTATTGGGTATCCACCTACCTGGAATACACGTAGATCTGGAGCAAGAAGCAACCACAAATGGCGTCCAAACTCAGGGGGAGTTACTGGTCGAGCATCTCATGCAGTAGCTACGCACAACGCCAACAATAATAAATCAGAAGGTCACATAGGGCTGACGATGGATCAAGTCAATCAGTTGTTTACTCTATTCAAGTAGAAGCAACAACAAGAGGACAATACAGTTCAAATGAGTGGTAAGCTAATTCATAATTCTTAGGTAATCGATAGTGGAGCGTCTCACCACATGACACCATTTAAATCATTATTGAGTGATCTTCATGAGTTGAAGGTACCAGTGCAAATCATGATGCCCAACAAGAGAAGTTAAGGGCATAACAAGCAGGGAGCGTTATCATATCAAACACTATAACCTTATATGAAGTGTTGTTTTTGCCTAGTTTTGCCTGCAACTTAATTTCTGTACATAAGTTGGCAAAGATCAGTAAATGTATAATAATATTTGAAGCCTTTAATTGTTTCATACAGGACCATACACTGAGGAGGCAGATTGAACGGGGTAAACTTACCAATGAAGTCTATTGTTTAGAGAGCATGGCGCAAGCTTGCAGACTAGTTGCCGTTCCAAGCAAGGATGAAGAGCTTTGACATGCAAGATTGGGGCATCCATCATATGGAAGCATGGTTCAACTATCAAGTTTACTTGATGTTAGATTAAATAAAAACTCTTCTTTCCCTTGTGATATTTGTTATAGAGCAAAACAAACTAAAATGCCATTTGCTGATAGTAGTAATAAAGAGACTAGACCATTTGCTTTGATACACTATGACTTATGGTGAAGATATAAAAACCCTTCTTTACTTGGAGCACATTATTTTCTCATCATAGTGGACGACTATAGTTGTCACGCCCCGAACCTGGGCCTGGATGTAGCACGGCACCCGGTGCCTGACTACATGCGACTGAGCGAACCAACTGGCTGGCTGAATCAACATGTGATATCATAACATAGTGAATGCGGAAGATAAACTAACACATGCTGATATACTGAAAGTATGAATGATATAAATCAATATGCGGAAACACTAACATAAGTCTGAAGTATATCTGTAGCCAACATTGCTTAACATGAAAAGCCTGTGACTCTGTCTAACTATTACTCTAGTCTATGAAGCCTCTAATGAAGTAGTAAAAATACTGACTCTAAAAATATTGAAGACTATAAAGTAATGATATTGCCCCGAAATAACTGGGGCTCACCAAATAGCTGGTACGAGAATTCTAGAGCTCTAATTCGTTAACCTGTAAATCATTACCTGCATCGTGAGACTGTTACTCTAGTCTATGAAGCCTCTAATGAAGTAGTGAAAATACTGACTCTAAAAATATTGAAGACTATAAAGTAATGATATTGCCCCGAAATAACTGGGGCTCACCAAATAGCTGGTACGAGAATCCTAGCGCTCTAATTCGTTAACCTGTAAATCATTACCTGCATCGTGAGATGCAGGCCTCGGGTGAAAGGGACGTCAGTACATTTGAATTGCACTGGTATGTAAAACAACAGAAAGAAAGAACTATAAATGCTGAAACTGAAACTGAGTTGATAACTGAGAACTGATAACTGAAATGATAACTTCTGAAACTGAAACTGAAATGATAACTGATAACTGAACAAAGGAAGTAAGGATATGAATACTCCCTCTTCTGAATGATGAACTACCTGTTTATCTGAATAAACTACGGCCTCGGTGATGATGTCCAAATTCACTACTAAAAAGTAAATGGACACAGTCGCATGCAATATAATTTATCCAACTATGAGTCGGGGTCGAATCCCACAGAGAACAATATGTAGGCGATTAGGCATGTAAGAGAATTATCGCTTATTATGCTAAGCCAAACACTTAGAATGATTTTGAAAAAATATTTATAACTAATTGCAAAAATGTAAACTAACCTAGAAAGCAAGTAAAATGATCGATGGCTACAAGCATGGATGCATCGGGATTTACACTCAAGTAACGATCCAATGTATTTCATGATTTTACAAATATGAGCGAGTTTATGTTAATTAGCCTCGGGTAATAATTCTATATTAGCTTCTTCCAAAGACTAACAA